TTGTAGAGTAGGTTTGGCAAGAAAAACAATCACAGTGGATTATGATTCCCACATGAGAAGTGTGAGGTCGAGATCTCTGCTTGGTTTCCTAGTCCTCTGCACCTTAATTCACCTTGCAAAAGCAGAAACTGACCTCATCCAGCAAAAGTGATTAAAACCAGCATACATCAACATCTAGGTTATGTCCTATATAGCTGCCTATCTGACCTAGTTACAAGTCCGGAGTGAAAACACACATCTTGGTCTGGAATACTGCAGATATTTCACATTTGTGCACATTGTGAAGTGTTTTCCCTACAAGGAGGGAGATGCCAATAATAAGTCAGCAATTGAATACTGCAAACGTATTTCTAAAAACCATAAATCTGAGTCATGAAATCATATGACGACAGTATCTTTGACTTTAAAGTGGTCCTATTCATCTACATGACCAGACTACCCGATTCTGTAGAAAAATCATTGGATTACAAACATGACTGAGAATAATAAAATAGCAAAATGTATATGGAGATCTATTCTTAGTTGTGTTCTGCGTCCTCTAGTCAGTGACATGTGTGCAGTCAACTTCGAAAACAAAGCAATGCTGAAGGTTCAGGTGCTTCAGTTCTTTCCAAAAACTCTTTCCTGGTGCTGGAGAGATTGGTCAGTTATTAAGAACACTTTCTGCTCTTGCAGAAGACCTTGAATTCAATTTCCAGCATCTATGTGGTGCCTCACGAGTCTTTAACTACAATTCTAGGGCATCGAATGCTTCCTCTGACCTGTGCGGAATCTTGCATGCACATGGTGTGTCTACATATTCTCAGACACACACATACACACATAAACTAGAAGGAATAAATATTTTCAAAAACTACTTCTCTGTAAACTTACAGAAAATAACCCCAAAATAAATAAGACTAAGAGACATCCAGGATTGCATTTTTGTTGCTGTGATAGGCCTCTGAGAGAATTCAACTTGAGAGAACAAAGGATTTATTTGGTTTATGTCACCGTGTCTCAGTTCATCATCAAGAAAATCTGAGCAGGAACTCAGGGAAGGAACCTGGAAGCAGGAACTGAAGCAGACAGCACATAAGAACACTGCTTACTGGTTTCCTTCCAGACTCACAATTCAACTCTCTTTCATGTACAACCCAAGCCAACCTACTGTGGGCTGGGCCATCCTACATCAATGACCAAGGAAAAAATACTCCACAGACATACCTACAGGCCAATCTGATGGACGAAATTCTTAAGTTGAGGGTCCCTCTTCCCAGGTATGTCAAGTTGACAACCAAGTTTAGCCATCTCAAAAACTGTTTTTGCTCATTTGTATGCAAAACCCACATCACATAACTCAAACACTATGACCTCAAACCGGGTAATACTGTGAGCAGTTCAGACTGAAAAAGAAAATCCAAAGTATTTGGGAATTTTCACGTCCTTGATGTTTATGAGTTATTGGGTAGTCTGTTGCTTAACTATAAGATGTTCATACATTCCTGGAAGCGTGAAGACTAAAATTTATACAGACATAACTGAGCTTTAGGTTTTTCCATGACCTATGTTAGAATCTAGTCTCAAATCTGTGTTCTTTCATCAAGTATCTCAAAGCATATTAAGTTAATAATGTCACAGGCAACAAAAGCTTACATGTAACACAAAAATGTACATACCATCAAACCTCACTTTCATAGAATGTATTTTTTTTAGAATGCACAGGACTTAATAAAAAAGTGTGATAAGAAGAGAAAAATCTTGTAAAAGCCAAGCATGAAAATGACAAATATTTATAAATTGGAGCTTAGAAAACTTCATTTTTGATATTGTCTGTAACTTGAAGACTTTGACACATTTGTCAGATTCTTATTATATGCCAAAGACACTATTTTAAATACTGCCATGAATTACAAGGAAAACTACCCACAACTTCTGCTACCGGATTTATATAATAAAAAGACCTTAAATGACAAAGTATAAATTCCATATTTACATATGTGTACATTTCTTCATAAATGCTTTATCTGGTTTTATTTAGAAAGTTAAACCAGCTATTTATCAAAATGATTAAAAGTCCATGAGTACAGATTATTTTTCTAATATGTTACAAAACAAGGGTCTTTAAAAGTGAAATGGCAGTATTTGATCTCTACTTATTATGAATTCAAAACAATTACAAAATAAACAAAATAAAACAAAACAAATCATAAGCTAATTCATAGCCCATGCTAGCCTGGAATGGGGCAGTCTTCCTGCCCCATCCCCCACAGTGTTACTGGTAACTTTCATTTTTCAAGTCATATAATTATATGGGAGGAGTTTTAATGGTTTTTAAAATGCATAACTGGTCAAAAATGATCTTTAAGAAATGTTACATGAAATTTTATTTTAATGCATCTGTATTTTATGGAATGGATTTCCAATGCAGAGAGAATATAAAACTAAATAATAAATCTTAACTGAAAAAAGTTAGATATCACTGCTGCAAAACAGCTAAAGAAGTTAATTAGTTTCCCCTATAATATGAATACCACTAATTTATAATCCTAACAGGATGCTATAGATCTTATCTACAATAAGTATATTTATAAAACACTAAAATCATATTTTATGTGTATCCTGTTAGCAATTACAGAGACACAGTGTATTTACTTTTAGCTTACATCTTTCAGATAGCCTGTCCTTCTAGCCTATCCCTGGCTTTGTAACTGCTTAGAAAAGGAGGGGGAATTTTTTCCCAGGAATCTGAAGCAAGCCCCTGACAGTAGTCATTTTGTAATTGCAATTATGGTGAAATAAGCAAATGTTTTCAGGAAGTCAGTTCCAACCTTCAAATTCAACAAACATTTTAAGCTGTCTTTTATACTTTGTATGAAGATATATATGGCTTTTTTCAGAATCAGGAAGATTATTCATTAGACTAAGGAAATATGCATCAATCACTTTCTCCATATAACCAGTTTGTTTACTTACCTTAAACCAAGTATAGTAGCACTTTAAACTTCAATTCATATATTTTTAACTATCTATTATAAAATTAGTATATCCTACTGCCACATCTCTATCACCAACAAATGAATGCAAGACGTCGAGGCATCTCCAGTAATTAATTCTGTTGCACTGAGAAATAAAAACATCTATATTTACTTTCCGATGTGAAGAGTAATTGTTTAAGAGTGAAGATTTTTATAGTGTTAACAAATTCTACTTTATCCAAAAATATAAATATAATCTTAGAGGGCCTCCTGACATCATAAAATAATTACAGTAGATCTTTCTATTATAGACCTAAACTGCATGTTGAGAGTTAATTCAGATGAAGACAACAATAAATACTTCATGTGTTTGGACAGTTCCACTAAGGTAGAGAATGGCTGCAGTCCATTGACAACACATACTCTCTCTTCAGTACTGAGCTAACGAAATTCAAATTACAAGACATGTTCAACAGGGTTCACAGTCACAGCATTGTATAAATTCAAATTTTCGCCATTGCTGTTAACTGTAAATTATCTATGCCACACTTTTTACTAGTAACAGAACTACCAATCATTTCCTTATCTTTATGTTTTCTGTGACAATCCCATCAGGGTAAATAAAAATGCAGTGTATGCATTAGTCATTTATTGTTAGGTTCTATCTCTAAAGCTGATTTTTCTTCCTAGGAGTGAATTCCAAGGTATGTTTAAAACACACATGGAGAACTTAAATATTGCCTTATCTACTGAAATGAAATTTTGATTGATGTGATAAAGTGACAGTTTTGAATTCCAGTCCAAGTTTCTGATCTTAATAAAAGAAAAAGAAAGAAAAACCATAAGCAAGGTCATCTTAAGTTTAGCTAGACTGTAAGGTGTGGCTCTTGAGCTCTTCTGACTTAAAATGTAACCCCTGGGTCAAAGAATTACAGATCCTTTGATGTTAATGATCCTTGACCCCTCCTCCATTAAGGGCAAGGGAAGGAGGCCCCTGAGGACATGGGGTCCAGGAGGTAGGAAAGGGAAGAAAAGTTATAGTGTCTTATTTCTTTTGAAAAGCAACACAACTTCCTTGAGTTCTTTGGTAAACTAACATCCACACCTCTGGTGTCTCTTCTTAGCTAAAGGTCACTGCAGAGCCTTCAAAATTTAGGCCTCCTTGAGCAAGCCCCATTTCAGAACCACGGACAGCAGCAGCCCTGGGCCTCATACTCCAGTTTCCAAGAAACTCGCCTAGACTTTCCCTTTGTTTATCAGCAAGGTCACACACAGGCCTTGTTCACTATAACGCAAGCTATTAATTATTTCCACGAATTTCGACCAAAGATTTGTAATGTACTATTTCTTCAGAGTATACAAAAAAAAAAAAAAACCAAAGCAATTACATAAGGTGTGTGATCACCAGCCTAACATTGAGAATCAATTGGTAGAGAGCTAATTACAGCCTTCCACTCATGTCAATAACTATACAGATGACTAAGAAAACAGGAGGCTTAAGGAGAGCAGGCCTAGACTTTCTGAGGAATAAGAGCTACCCCCCCCTCCCATTAAACCCATAAAATGTGTTCCCTTGGCTGGTGGTGTTGTTTTGTTTTGTTTTTTCTCCCTATATCAAGAGCTACACTTTATCTTGTTCCTGAGGCCAACCAACTTCAGTGTGTGGGAAGTGAAGAAGTGATGCTGGTCCACCAGCCTTCTCCATGCCTGTCTCCAGCCAGCTGACTACCTGTGTGCATTGGTCCCCTCTCTATCTTCCCGACAAGCAGTAACAGAGTTTGAGCCAATGGCATAGCTTGAAGAAACAGCAGCTAGAATCTTGGCTTGGTTATCTTGAAAGATGGACTTCCCTGATATTCCAAGGACGCTCGAAGGAAGGCATCAGGCCACCAGCAACTCCAGCAGGAAGTCAAGTTCTTATAGCCAGATTAAACAATGATTAAACTTATAAAACCCGAATCAGATAAACGAATGAAACAAACCAAAAAAAAAAAAAAAAAAAAAAAAGCTGCATTGAAGGGGAAAGGAACCCACTGCTCCTAC